ACACACCGGGGTCGTCACAATATGCGTTTTTGCATTTGCATATTATGCAAAAACGCATAAAAATGGTGCATCTCTGGGCTTAAGCATCAATTCTTTTTTAAGCCATCAACCTCCTGCGGAGTTGCGCCATAATAGATGCATTTTACTCGTGACCACAGAGCAGCTCCCATGCACATCGGGCACGGATAACAGGATGTGTACAGCTCGCAGTCGCTAAGATCATAATTTTTCAACTTCGCACAAGCATTTCGAATTGCTGTTACTTCCGCATGAGCTGTTGGGTCGTTACTTACAAGCACCTGCAATAAGCTGACAGTTGAATTTTTAAAACGTTTTGGAAGCAGCATAGCGCCGTAATTATGTAGCAATTCCTAATATCTCTTTGAGGTACACACAAACGCAACCACCGAAATAAATTTACAAAAATTAGTCCTCGCAACGATTGCTTCGAATCCACAAATAGCATATGCAACACAGTGCGCACCAGGGTCACGACAGGCGAATCCAGTAGCACGCCTCTAATTGCTGCTAAATTTGTTACGAAGACAACGTCCATTTAAAAGTGCTGCTTCTTTCAACATGCAAAATCGGGCCAGAAGCGAAGAACCAGTCCGGTAAAACTGTCATCAAAAAGACTTGTCAAGTAAAAACCGTTGTAAAAACTGCGCCTGCAAACTTTTCGCTCAAAGCAGTTGCCCGTGGACTCGCGTTACAATTTTCAGATTTCAAGAAATCGATTGGACATGCTCTCCTCTTGTTGAAAGTCCGTCGATTTCGCGTATCGATAAACGGTACCTACGAAAAGGAAAGCCACCAGTCGAACGAAATTCAAAGAATGATGCAACTATTTGATTCAGGCAGTGAGCAAAAACAGTGTACGACATGCAGCCCTAAGCGTAGCAGTGATCACCAGGTGGATTTGTGGTTTGCAAGACACCGTGATCTCACACTAAATTAAATCCAAGCTGGAACGCACCAAGCTTGCCGGTGCGATCATGCTTTTTTGCACCAGACTTGAAGTAACTAGGCTAACTGCATGAACGGTTGTTGCTCCACACCTACCTTGTGCGCTCACTACCGCAAATAGTCGTAAATTTTTTTTTTTTTTTTTGCATAAACGAAAATAAAAATTTCCGTTTAACGGCCGTTCATTGAACATGACTTAACTGTATAATGAGCAATTTTTCCGCCAAAAAATTTAAGTGCACGTGCACGAGAACCACGCATACATAGAGGCTGAATTTGAAACTTTTAAGTTGTATTTGGACAGGGAACATTCTTTAAAATTTCAGCTTTCCAGCTTTTCCGGTTCGCGAGTTAACAATTTTCCCGCCAAAAAATTTACGTGCCCGTACTTGTGAACCACGAACATCTAGGGGCTAAATTTGAAGTCTTTAGTTCATGGATGTGTAGAGAATATCCTTGTAGAGTTTCAGGTCGCTTTCTTCTCTGGTTCCCGAGATCGCTTTCTCGCCGAAAAATTTGCGTAATTTCTTGAGACATTCGTACTTATTACTCAGGCATGCGCGGGTGATGATACTGAGACGGGAGGATCGTACATGGTGTGGGCGCATACTCCCGAAGTTCCAGCCTTCTAGCTTTTCTGATTCTCGAGTTGAAAGTGGGTGACAAAATGTGCAAGCACACAGACACATACACACAGTCTCTTGCCAATATGCACTTTTGCATTTGCATATACACAAAAACGCATAATAAAGAGCGGCTGGCAAAAAATGCAAGACCAGTCCTCCAAGTCTGCTTAAAAATAGATTGAGGATTTAGGGATGCTAGAAAGCGGATACAAATTCTCTGTCCATCATGTAGTTTTTACAGAAACTGTCAAAGCACCTTAAAAACTGACCATATTGTGTCCTGTTGCAATAATTTCTCCATTTCGAACAATAGCAGCTCCAAACGGGCCACCATCTCCAGAACTAACGCCGATGCAAGCTTCTTTCACCGCTTTTTCCATAAACACGCTCATTGCGGACAGGCAAACCCGCACTGACTGAAAATAATATATCACCTTATGTAACAAAATTGCGAGGCAAGGAACGAAGAAATCAAGGAAAAAATGAATCGGTTGCGGAAAGGCCCCTCGCACTTTGAGAATTTGTTGCCAGGAATGCTGGAAGCGAATACTGTCAATCGATGATTTAGCAACCATCCCTAGCAATGAACGCTGTCAATACGCACTCGCTGACCGCAAATTTATCCAAAAAAAGCCAAACGGCTGCCGCGCTAAATGCGTGGCAAGCAAGCAGGGATAACTGACGTTGACGATAACTAACGCTGCAGCGACGATGCTCAGTATCAAGAGCCAGTCAAAGCGAGTGCGTGAAAGCTGCAAACTAAGGTGGAACACATATCATTGGAACCAGCGTCTCTGTGAGGGTGGTGCTGGACCAGCGGAGGATCATGCACAGTTTGCTGGTTGGTAACATTTCACACAACCGCCTGATAGCAGTATCAAATGAGACGCTTTCTGATCTTGTGAATGCTTCATTTCTTTATCTCTTCGTCCCCTGAGAAAAAATTAGTATTGCACTGTGTAGCTTCCAAACAATTTCAAAATACGTAAGCAACAAACCGGATCGAATTCAACTTCTAGCTTCTCTGGTTGCTCAGTTGAAGTTAGTTGACAAAATAAAAACATATATATATATATATATATATACCCACATACATATACATACAGATACAGACAAGCTTTTGCCAATATGCTTTTTGCCATTTGCATAAATATTGCAAAAACACGTTATGTAAAGCTTCTGTGTTGTGTATTTCTTTGCGTGTATGGTTTAAGCCTTCACACGATGAGTCATGTGTAGGGTTACGAGCTACGGAGTCCAAATTTTGAAAGTACAGATCACGACCCAGGATCAAAGGCCTGCCAAAACTGTGACGGGAATGTGGTTGCTAGTGCATCACTGGCATTGAATCGCTATACTAATCAAATTGGAAATAAATTCTTATTTGTTGAAAACGAGGGTTAAATTTCGAGATCAAGATTTACTTAGTCCAGTTTACATTTTTAAAAATCTTCTCACTCCATACGTTTTGATATATTCATTTCTCAAAATCTAGGCGCAAGACACTATCGCCTGGTAAAATATCTCGTTATTTATATGCATGTCTTTCTGGATACTGTAAGTTGTCAAAGGCGAGTGTGGATAATCAGAAATTTAGAGATTTTAATTTCTGGCCAAGCGTAGAACCACAAAAGCAATCCTGATTCCAGCTCTTTTCTACCGGTTCCGAATTTAGATTTACATTTCAATTTAAAAACCGACAAAGCTACGACTTCTGAAAATTCAGTGCTTTTTCATCTCATAATGCAGCGCGAAAGATTTTTCTGGCCTACATTCTCAAATATGAGTTGAACACTAATTTTCGAATGCATAAAAAATTGATCCCAGCTGCACTGATATTTTGTCAGTATATGTGCTCTATTTCGCTTTTGTTTCAATTCCAGCAGAGGAAAGAATTTCTGGCCAACAACGCGCATCGTTCCGCATGCCTTAAGGGCCAGAATTCTATGTTCTGTAACAGTAAGATGTGCACTTGAAGCAGTTTTATCAAACGCTGATTAACATTTGCACCATAATAAGCAACAAAAAAAAAAAAAAAACTCCACGGCCAGGCGTCTTTCAGACTTCACGCATTGAATTTTAATTAGTTTGCTCCAAGTGATCGAGCACGATATTAACAGACTTCGTCTCACAGATATCTTCACATCCAGTTTCGTTTGCTTCTATTTCAAATTTACTTAAACTTTACTGTTTTGGATAGGATGTAAGACCGGAATTTTCTTCATACTGTTTTATCATTTCACGTGAAGGATTTTTATTAAATTCAGATGAACAACTGATTACAGAAATATAACAAAAATGAAATGTAACGAATGCATATTAAACACTATATGTTTGAGAGCTTAATTTACTACGCTGTGCACTTTAAACAGTTTCGAAATCATCCTTTAAAGCCAGTAGTGTCCTGAAAGACAATAGTGTCCTGATTTCCAACTCGAGTTCGGATTGAATTTACGTTTATAGAGAAAAAATACGAGCCGAAAACCCCTAATCTTTGCATTTATTAAGTTAACCCTATTTCGCATATGAACTCTAAAAAAACAAATTCCAGATCCCATTCCTCATCAATTATTTTACATCCAAGTTCCAGGCTAGTCTTTAAAGTTTGTAACACAGCAAACCGTAAATTCAATGCTCGATAAAAAAAGAATAGTGCTAAAACAGATTTTAAGTTTTTTGTGAAATAACCCACTTGAATAACTTACACATATTTGAATAAAGATTGAGACTGGAACTTAGAAATAAAGCAGACTATAAAACAAAAATATTGAACACTTTTTTCCACAGATAACTCAAAAAAAAAAAAAAAAAACGATGATAAAGTAATACCATCGCTTCTGTACAAAAATGTATCAGGAATACACAAGAAAATGCCAGCCACCTCCGCGTGTGTACATTTGCTTTAGTTCATGCAAAAAAGCATTAAAAAAAGCATGCAATAACCAATATGATAGTTAACAATCACCAGCATTATCTATTGGTGAACCTTGGAAGTGCTATCAGTTGCGGAGTTGTTCTTCAGAAAACACGACGCCAGCCTGATGTTATCAATCGCCACCACAGCATCAGTGACTGATTTTTTGGAATTATACGCTACCAAATAAAACTGCAAAAACGCATTTCAAAAAAGCGTAAGTGTAGTTCTTAGAAAGTAAATTAAACACTGTGCAGCAATAATTTAATCAATAACTGAACAAAAAATCAGCACTCTGCTACTACATGTCCGTAGTGCTGTTACCAGCTAATTTCCCTTTATCTACTTTGCGGTAACATGCAAACATCAAGCCAAACGATTGCTCCGAATCTAGGCAACAATCCTACACCGTAACGTTCTGCAAATTCTAGCCTGCAGCTAATTAGCCAGAAAAAGACGATGAAAAACTGAACAAAAATCATTGGCGATGTACACCGACCGGACTCGTGCGATCATCGTTTTTGCAGTGTTTCGTGATGTGGCGATATCGCTCGGGTACCCAGCAGATGGAAATTGTGACATACCATCCTCGAAGTCCGGCAATTTAAATGTGCAACTACGCGGTACTTGGACAGGGAACATTCCGCTAAAATTTCAGCCTTCCAACTTTTCTGATTCTCAAGTTAGCAATTTTCCCGCCGTATGTGAGAACTATGCATATCGGGGAGCTAAACTTGATACCTTTCACTTTTACGGGGACTGGGAACACACCCTTAAAATTTCAGCACCCCAGCTTTTCTGGTTCCCGAGTTAGCGATTCTTCTCGTCAAAAATTTCCGCGGGGCTGTACATGAAAACTACGCAGTCCAAAGGATTGAACTGAATATCTTTTAGTCGTACGAAGGTTGGGAGCATCTCCTGAAAATTTCAGTCTCCCAGCTTTTCTGGTCCCCAAGCTAGCGATTTTCCGGCTAAAATTCTTCGCGGGACAATACGTGATAACCGCGCATACCTGGGACCTGAATTTGAAATCCTTGGATTCTGCGCTGGCGAGGAATACACCCTCAAAATTTCAGCTTTTCAGGTCCCCGAGCTGACGATTTTCTCCCTGAGAACCAGCTGCACTCGGGGGCTGAATTTGAAATCTTTGATTTTTACGTGGACGTTAAGCATCCCCTGAAAATTTCAGCCTCCCAGCTTTTATGTTTCCCGAGTTAGCATGTGGCCGTACGCGGGACTCAGAAGTGCATGAGGGTTGGTACCGAGGTCCTGGGGTGGCACTTGGTCGGGGAACTCGCTGGCAATATTTTGGCGCCGGGGCTTGCGCCGTTGCTAAGTTAAAATACTCGGACAGACGCATACATACACACACATACCTGGGTCGTCACAATATGCGTTTTGCATTTGCTTATACGCAAAAACGCATAAAAACGGGGAACTGTCAAAAAACGCAATAATTTAGCCATAATTCAGGATTCGGACCCAGCTGTGCTTGTGAGTAACACGATAGGTGTCCACAGGTCAGAAACTAGTGAGATTTGAAAGCTGATTTCAAATCATTCATCTCGCAGTACGCTAAAGTCTCAAAATTTCAAGTATCATGCGCTCTCCGTTCTGGATTTGTGGTATTTGCTAGGGGTCCTAAGACAAAACAGGAGGTCCTGAAAGTTGTTTTCAGACTAAGTAATCCAGACTGCCTAATGAAAAATATCATGTATGCTGCTTTGCACTTTCTCGGGTTATAAAATGAGCTCGAATTTGAGCAAGAAGTGGAAACTGGTTCTAAGTTAATAAGGAAAAACTGAAAGTTGGTTCCAAAATGATCAGAAATTATGTTTCTAAGGATTTAGCTTTCAGTATTAATTCCGTAAATTATTCGTGCACGTTCGACGCAATCACCAACACGGGCTCACTGACATTTATTTTTGTTTTAGTACGTATATCCTCTGTACAAAAACATTTAAAAGACACGGTCGGTGCAAAATTTTTCTGCAAATTAAATTTTGGTTATTTTAAACAATTTGTCTGTAGACTTCCTTGAGCATCAACAATTGTTTTTTTAAACCATAACTCAGACATATTCAAATGCAAAACGAAAAAAAAATTAAATTTTGGCCAAACTGAGCAATTCAGATATCCGCTCCCAGATGCTTAACGCACATTTGCCATGCACCAAACTGAATGATTCAGGAAGCGGAAAAAAATGAACTAACTTGCGATGTGCCAGAAGGAAGTCGAGCTCTCGCGTTTTTCCATTCATGCGAGTTTTTGATAAATTGAGATCCCAGGATCAACGGACACTGCGCAAAATCTGATGCTCTTTCGAATGATTGGCTGCGATTATTATTAAGACACAGGCGGATCGACGCATGATATGATGACCTGAAAAAATATCGCATTAGCTACAATTATCAAAGTGGGAACTTTGGACGAATCCGCCTGTCTGACAGTAAAATCGTGTGGTCAAGAATTACCTAG